CCCCAAAACCCCAAAACCCCAAAACCCCGCTTGTGATTTATCAAAGGAAATAAGTGAATGAAAATTAATTTCCTAATAATTCTAAAACAGAATAATATTAAGCTGGTATTTGAAAGAAAAATAAGCTTCAATAAACATAATTAAAGTTATATGTCTAGCAAAATGTCATAGATTATTATTATTTACCTCATTCTGGCTTTGAGGTAATAAAATCTTTTATTCTCAAACCAATTAATCGCAATATAGTATTCAATTAGGTCAAAGCCAAAAAATATACTAGGAATCTCAATTTTTCGACTTGTATAATAATCAACTAGATTAAGAAATAAGCACAAAAGGTAGTTCAAACAATCACAAGAATTTGGGAGAGTACAAGTAATTTTTATAAATTTCATCTATGTTTAGCCTATCTCCATAAAATTGAATCAATAATAACTAGCCCGAAAACACAAAAGATAAGGAAGAGGATTGCATCAGCTCAGATCTTAACTTTAGAAGTAGACATATTATTTTTTATATATTCATTTAATTAGGAATCCTGCAAACCAATACTTGTCCCACTGGAACAATATATTACCCTTTTGTGTTCGGAGGAACTGCGACTGACTGCTCTTAAGATGTAGTTTTAAAGGGTTTTGGAGTAGATTCCTCTGGAAACTCAGTAATCACTGGAACTGTTGATACAACATCACTCGTTACATCTGTATGTTCAATGTACACAAATGGCGTAGCGGGCAAATTCTCTTTTTTGGCGTATATTGATTAATATGGTAAGTTTTGATCTTTTTAAATAATTGTGATATGCAATAGGCAATGTAAAATGGATGAACATAATTGCTAATAATGCTCTGATGGTTCCTGGCGATCCCTAAATTGCAGGGACGCTAACTTACCTGGGAATGAATTATAATCAGAAATTTAGGATATCTTAAGTCTAAACTGCAACAGGAACTGGGGCATTAGAAGTATCTTTGGATAAATTTCTGCCTCTAACCACTGATGTTCTCAGTTCTCTTCGATTAGAAGTTGATGCTTCTACCCAGGATCTTTTCGTATAAATGCAAATCAAAACTAGCTATTTCAATGATGCCTCTAGAACAGTCACCTTGATCATGAAGCTAGATAAAACACTAGCTATAAAATGGTGGAAAAGAGTTCAAGGTTTACCAGCAAATGAGAATGTATATGCAGCCACGCTAACCGAAAGTTCTAAGCTTTGGTCTGTGCATCTCATTTACACAGATGTTTCCACATAAAAGTACTAGATAGTCAGAATAGAGAAATCTAATGGAGATTTTGATAATGAATGTCTCTTCATGAATTCTCTGGCTTCAACTTCATAAGTAACAATGGAAATAAACTCAGATGGCTCTCTCTGGGGCCTTGGTCTCCAAGAAACTGGCTCAAATTATTTTGCTTTTGCTACAGGAAAGACATCAGACAACACTATGTCGTCATATTACAAATCAACGATAAGTCTTAAAAGTAAATGATCTTGATGTTTAACACTTTAGGCTATCGAGTATTTTTTACTGCATCAGGAAATGTAATTTGCACTTGCTTATACAATACCTGTAATAATGCCTCCTCTTACTTATATATAGATTAAATATTTCAATTTATGGTAGATGTCACCACAGGAAGCTTGCTAAAGCAGGCTATTATTACAAAAGGCTCATCTTCAAATTCAAATATACAGTAAAATAAAAGAAAAAATCAATTAATTTAGGCTTTTGGCAAAAATGAGTGATGCTGATAATCTCATTTTAGCATATTCAAATAAACAATACTAATCAAGTTTGCCTTAAAGAGTAATAAATGCTTTTTTCTTATAATCTAAACATAGATCATTTTTATGAAGTTGAGTGACGAGATAGATGTTTTAGGCTATAGTTGTGTTAATTAAACAGCTATAAACTTATTAGCTTTCACCTCAGTTACTCCCTCATTAATTGCAACAACCAGCTCTATTATGACAATCAATCCAACAGATGTGAGTTCAAGTGAAACTTTAAATTAAATCACATCTTTTTCAATGGTTGCATCTACTGGTACTGCTGCTTCAAGATATACATTATAGGACATTAGCACAACTGCATACTGTTAGATTCCTTACAGTGCTAGCCCAAGCACAATGGCCTATGATACTAACACAGATACCCCTAACTCGAAAAGTTATGGACCATTCACAGTTAAAGATTGTAGAGGATAGACCTATGCTATTACTTCAGTAACATTACCTAATGGAGCCAGCTTACCATCAGGTATAATAACTTATGACAGTACAGCAAAGACTATTTCAGTTAAGATTACAACTGCTGAATTTCTAGCTTATGTGGGAACAAGAAATATCATGATAACTGCAACTTTAAACGGGCAAACTTTATAACCACTTGTTTAACTTACAGTCTAGCCTAAGTCAGATTTATTGAGAGATCCAACAACTACTTTCAATCACGATACAAGTTAATGTGATGATAAGATATATCCTTTAATTTATGGCTAATCGGCACAATACTCACTTAATCATATCACTGTTGACTCCAAAGATAATTTATTACTTACTGGGACAGCTATAATTAAGCCGTAGGGGTAAAATGATGGTACTAGAAGAGGATTTGTCTAATTGCAAGATCAGAGAGCAGCAACTTATTGGATTTTTGGAATTGAGTCATTAGCCTACTCCGGAAATATTGCATAATGCTCATTTTCATAATTATCTGGTGGATTCGTATACACAGGCTGCATGGCGAAGCATCCTGTGTTTCATGACTTGACTTACACTCCTTTACTTGTTAAACTTGATTATAAAACAGGAAAAGGCATTTACTTGAAATCATTACCTATGGATAGAACTAATCCAACACTCTAAAATATTCTAGGAATAATAGTTCCAGCAACTGATAAAGTTCTTGTTATTTATGAATATCAATTAGGAGCTACAAAGTCGTTTGCTGCACTAAAAATATCAGAAACTGATTTTAAAGTAGACTATTTTAAATTCTATCCTAATACAGTAGCAAATTCGATTCAGATGATATTAACTGATTCCCTTAATAGCGCTTTTTTCTCAATTGAAATGAAAACAACAAGAGCATTATTGGTTAGAAGAATAGATATCACAACTCAATTAATCACAAAATAGGCTTAGTTAAATCAAGGCTTGATAGACTACTAAACATATCCCTGTCTTTACGATAACACCAACATGATTGTCCCCTATATAGAGAATTCATCTCCTCAAAAAATTCATATGTATATTTTGGACTTAACAGGACTTACAACAATTAAAAGCATTTTATTAACTCTCACAGCTTCTACCTCTCTATAATAAATATCTGTGACTTCAGATTCAGCAAAAAATATCTATTTATGTGGAGCTAGGAGTTAAATTCTATTTGTCAAACTCAGTTCTGATCTTACAACAGTCCTTTACGAAATGTGGAGGTCAGATTTCTCATCAACATTAAGCACAATTTGGGCTGTCACAGCTTCAGACATCGCATTCTTTAGTTTAACGGGAGTCTACTAAGCTGGAGAGCAAATTTCAACCATCATTTTCAAAGGAACGGACAAAGACTATAATTGTTTTGATATCCCAACAGTATTTTCAAACGACACAACATATTATCCAACTCTAACAGTTTTGGATACAGCTACAGTAATTGATTCAGTTGTAGATTCACCAGTTGATGCTTTATTACCTGATGATAACTTGCCTGTAATAATGGATGCCAATGTCAGGCTATACACAACAAGTTACTCAAGCACTCAAACTGAAAGATATGATATCGGTGATGGAAGATTGAGTAATAAATTTAAAACTTTTCCTTACTAAAACGTCAAGTGTGCCATGATATCTGCTTATAGGACTTATAATGGCCCAAGTATCCATGAAATAAAGAGACAGGCATCATCCCCTTATGTTATCTAACTCAATACGACTATTCCTCAATGCTAATCAAGACCAGTTGGAATCGCAGTTTTAGCACCTTAGTCAGATACTAATGCATACAAGTAGTCTTTTGTTACTTACGACTCTGTTTTAAGCAAGATAAGTTTTTCTTTATCTACAAGCATGCTTCCTTAGTAATTTTATCTGAAAATTAGGTTTCATGATTTGGAAACTGGCACAACTTCCTATTATCATGATCACTCAATTATGATTAGGATAGTTGATTCAGCTAATCTAACCCTAAGCAAGTCAAATTTTGACTACTGCTGGCAGAATCCTTTCCCTATGAGTTTTGGTTCTTCATATTACAGTTATTCAATGTATGGAGGTGGATTCTATGCAAATAGCACTGATAATAACATGATTATGGTAGGGAATGTAAATACAGTCCATAGTGCATTTTCAAATGAAGACACCTATGATGCATATGTGATGAGACTATCTGAGACTGGATGGGTAGAATGGTTAGATTAGATTTCAAACGGTAGGGGTCTCAATGATAAAACAACAAGTGTCACAATGCAAAATGGATATGTTTACACTTTTCTAACTACTCCGTCAAATTCCTATAATGATATTTACTATGCGATCATAAAATTGACATATTTAGAAGGAAAAGTTGAATGGGCTAGACAATTCATCATTGTAAATCCTCTTGACACAAATAATTTCTATTTACTCACAGCCAATGATATGGTTGCAAATCCAAGAAACAAAACTTAGCTAATGCTATCGGTCCTTTTTGCTTGGAATAACAATGCTGGAACATTTGCTGGTAACATTATGGTAAATGATAATGTTACTCATCTTGCTACAGATTTCTATTAAGTTATAAAACCCCTTGCAAACTTAAATACAGTCTCTGCTTTAGGTTAAATGCTCTTTGATCCTGATACAAATTCTGTCTATGCAGCTCATCTTAGTTATCCAGTAAGTTCAAGCATTCAAGACAATATCATTATCAAACAGAGTACAGTAGATGGAACTGTAGAATGGACTAGATCGTATTAATTTGGTAGTAATGCTCCAAGTGTCTCCTATATTCTCCCAACTTTAGCTTTCAATAATGTGACAAAAAATTTATATGTAGCTTCAACTAATGGTTATGCGAATTTGATGAGATTTGACACTAGTGGAGATTTAAAGAAAAGAGGGACAGTTAGATTAAGCAATTAATACATCTAAAATCTCTAAATAGCCATTGATGAATCTCTAAACCAAATAATAGTAGTGACTTATAATAATTACAATCAAAGGATAGAAATCATGACTTTGGATGAAAATTTCAACTCAATATCTTAGACTTATTTGGGGCATTCATAAATGAGTGCTTATTATGGCAGAATGATTTATCAGATTGGCAATTGGTACTATATCATGCATGATTCTTCTAGATTTGGAACATCATATTCAGGTTATAATGAAGTAACTTTAAGCAGAAAATCAGTGAAATATGATGATACAGGGAAATATGAATGCCATACTTACAGCATATTATACAACTATTATACTTATTCTGACTATTCTCTTTCTAATACCTAGCTAGCTGTTGGTGCTCTTGTCATTTCTAAGGAGGCATTAATAGTTTTAGACAATCCAAACATAAAATCTTATCAGCAATAGGCATATTAAAGTACTAAACTTTTAGCGAATCCAGATTATTCTGATGGTATTTCCAACGTGCTAAATATACCAGGAAGTAATTCTTACTCTTGTGCTTAGTTCACTGGCAATACCAATTATATGGGTCCTGGTATTATGGAATTAGATCCAATTGAAGTTACAATGGGAAGTACTGCATCTTATACCTTACAGAGCAGTTCCTTTAAGCAATGCCATGGCTAATATATATCATTTGGTAGCTATAATCTCTACGACGAAGCTATAAACAACACCAGAAATGCATACAACACTTTCATTTCTATTTCTGGTTCATAGGTAACTGTTACTACCACATCTGCTTCGGCTTATCCAGGTTTTAGGTATTTAGTAATTACAAGTGCTTGCGCTGCCAGTGGATATTAATGCTAATCAAATCTTGTACTGCCTTTAATTATATGGCCCGCTTCCTTTACTCCAATCCCTAAAGCTGTACCAACTAAAATTTGCTTAGCAAAGAATTCATTCCCTAAAGTATTATAAGCAAGTGCTTACGCTTTCTAATTTATGAGTTAAGCAGATGTTGACAAGGATAATGGTAATTTTTTGATGTGCGGATAATCAGGAATCATTTAAAATATCAACTATGGTTATAACACTCCAGGATACATTTTGATGTCTGATATTAATGGAAGAATTTACTGGGCTTATCAAAATGTTCATGTTTACTAATACAATGCCACACATTATATTGGATGTAAAATAATGAATGATAAGTCCTCGATTATAAGTATTATTTTTATTGCAGATTTAAAACTTGCAGTAGTAAAATAAGACTATTAAACCGGAAAACTAATATACATGAGGGCTCTAATTGGATAATATTATAGCTACATCTATTCATTCTTTGACAGATAGGAAAAGGCTGTATATGTTAGTGGTAACAGATAAGATCAAGTGTATCCGTATGATTATCGTTGGACGCTTAACCTTGTCAAAATAGATTGTTCTATGGGTAATCCAACATAAAAATGGTATAGCTACTTATAATACAGCTACTCCTCTTCATCATATCAATATTTTGATGCTGTATTTTCAAAAACGAAGGATTATTTTTATGCAGTGGGTGGAGCTTACTTGTATCCAGATTACTAGCAGATAGGTAAGTATTCTAAATCAACAGGAAAGAGAATAAAATTAGTTCATTTTACCCCTTACACCGTCACTTAAACAATTTTTATGGATGAAAATGATTATGTATACTGGTCATCAGCAACATCTATGGGATACTACAGTAAATTATTAAGGAAGCTCGATGAAAATCTAAATCAAGTTGCAGCAGTTGAGCTAAGGATAGATTCAGCCTATGTTTATTCGCTTCCTTTAATTAATTCCATGGATAGTGATGACACATATTTCTATGAGATGTTTGCATTTAATTGTTACAACTTGTACTGGGCGAAGTATAAAAGATCTGATTTGCAAGTTGTATCCCTGAAGATGTAAAACATTTACTATAATTTAAATTAATTTAATAGGAATCTCAATAGATTAAATTCTTACTACAGGAATTTCTAAGTCTTTGTTCTAGAAGATAAGATCTTATCATTTATGTCAACTTATGGATATTGTAATTATTATTCATTTATGCATAATTTTTCCTACAGACTCTACTGGGAGTTGGGAATCAGCAGTTGATTCTATGAACAAGGACTTAAAAAATCCTTACTCTTGCATCAAGTTCAACGATATGATCATCAATCAAACTAACCCTTCACTTTCATCAGTAGCCCCTTATGACTTTAACAGCTCATTTACCTAGACACTCTACTAATTTGATTACAGACTACAGCCATTCTTAAAATAATATTTGGAATATTAACCAATGGGTGAAAGATATAGTTTTTCTGGAGCAAAGTAAATTGGATGTCCTTATATGGGTCCAATTTTTGACAAAGATTTGGAGGATTAGATTATTGTTCTACCAAAGTCTAATCATTAGTATACATTTGATTGGCCATTAGATTGTTCAGGATAAGATTTAAATTTTACTTGGTCAGTAGATGCATATTGGACAATCCCAACTTTCATGACGATGACAAACACTACTTCATCTTCAACTCTGACTATAAATCCAAAAGCGGAAAATGCTGGCACATATGTTGTGAGGGTCAGATTTTTTATCAAATAGAACATATTCCATATGTCCGAAAGAACATTTGTTGTTGAGATATATCCTGAGACTAATTATGGTTCAGATTTGCCTAATATGGCTTGTAGTTAACCAGTGGTACCTATCTTTTTTTCTAAAGATTTATCATTCCAATAACTATATGCAGATGTTGATGAGTATGATGAATCAGTTTTACTATGTGGCACTACCAAAACTGTCAATGTTAGGAATACTTCATTTTAAGCTGCTTATGTTTCTGTTTACAATTCAAATTTAGCTCCTAAGTTCTTTATCACGATAGAAGGAGAGTGGGGGCCGTATTTAGCTACATACCATTGCTAATTTGCTTATTAGTAAGATTATATATAAATAGTCAACCTATAGGAATAATATATTTTCATTTACTGAAAGTAGTGAGACTGGCATATATATGATACAGCATTCCTAGTAAGTATTCCTTCACCTTAGTCTACTTAATTCATGATTTTTTTAGATATGGAAAATATATTGATGGCAGATATTTCTTTTCTCCTTATTATGCTTTTAGAATGTTTCGAGCTTTTGTGGATTCAAATACTGGAGATTAATATATAACTGGGTATAATGATTATCCAGTTTATTCCCTATTTCAATACACTCAAGCTTTTGTGATGAAAATTGATAAAGACTATAATATTATATCTAACATTTAAATTCGTTCAGGAATTTCTGGTTACGATTATGGTATTCATTCCTTTTTAGTAGACTTATCTTCTAATTCATACTACTTGTTGACATCAATGTACTATTATACAACTTCTTACTACTATCATTTTGGTGTATCTAAGTTAAGTTCTATTGATGGTTCTACAAGTTGGGCAAAATAAATGAGAGACCCAGCTAAAGGAGAAACAGTAGTTAGAGATGGTTATGGTTCTAGAGATATTTCAGCTGGATTACTCCTTCTGTCAGATTATCTCTATTCTTGCATAACACCTAGACTTTATTAATATAACAGCTATAGTTAAAATTTGTTAGGATATGATGTTTAAATCACACGCCATAGTATTACAACTGGCAGCAAAGTCCATAGATCAGAAATAGGAGACGGCTCTTCGTCATCGCCTTAAACATTACCTTTTTATATTTCCACTCAGTTTGAAATAATGAGTAACCCCTGATTGAATGGTAACCCAAACTTATAAGTTCCTTAGACCAGTTAACTCTTGTAAGAAAAATAAACTAAAAGAGTCATATTTAACTTGAGAGAATTTGTTATGTTAGATATTTAGCTCCTCTACTTGAATTTGCTTCGAAGGCTTACTGATTTTAATTACCCATATATAACTAACTTAAATCTGGTTCGTCAAGGCTAATACCGATTCTATAGTTCAAGGAATTTTTATGGTTGTAGTATGTCAATGTGGAAATCTAGAGACAATGTGGCTATGATAGCTTCACATACAAGAAGCTTGTTCTCTAGCTTCGTCCTTGTTAGAGCTGCCAAATTAGCAAAATGCACAAATATTTCGAAATAGTTAATGAAGGTCTTATGGTAATGGATTGAAAAATAACCAGAAAAACTACTAGCCGATACGACATTGGTAGATAAGTGGGAGTCCTTAAAAAACTAAGTTAAAAAGCATAGCAAATTGCTTAAGCCCTAATGTAATACTAATCTATGATCAGGAGATGAAAGAAAAAAGATATCTATAACAACTCAATCATTTATGAGAGCTTCAAAAATATTTAAGCGCAACAGAAAGGCTTTTTGCTAAAAAACTCTAAAAAATTGGTCAAAAATCAAATTTTAGCAAGCTCTCAATAATACCTTGATAATCATCTAACAAGAATTAAATTATTAGCAAAAATAGAGAACATAGCTATATAAAAGTGGAGAAATAGATAACTCTTTATCAGGAATTGCAATTAAGTCAGAATAATGACCATTAGTTGCACAGACAAATGCTTAATAAAAATAAACTAATTCTACTAATGATTAGAATTTTCAATTGTAAA